GATATCACAAAGGTTTCAGAGAGATCAGACAACTAACCGGAGATGGGTTCACAGCAGCTTTCCCCCAAAAAAATCCAGGTGGGTCTCAAATGGCCCAATTGTCAGAAGCAGGGAAGGGGTCTGAGGCATGGGCTCAGTTCAGTTAAGAAGCTAAAAATATCCAAGGAAGGATAACATCGTTAGCATCCAGCCTTTTTCGGAAGCAGTTCCTCACACTGGGGACTTGGCAGCATAGAGAAAGTAAGCACTTTGCCCTCATACTTTACAAGGTTTTGCAAAACTGCTCCATAGCTCTGCTTAATGAACAGCGATGCCTCCTGGGCAGAAGGGGACACAAAGGAGGCCTGCTCTGGGGCTGCCCACTGGGAAGATGGGCATACACACCAAAACCGCAGGCTTTCCTAAATGCTTCATAGCAGAAGATGAAAACAGTAGCTCTGCAAGCCTGCCACATTCAGGAAGCCAGGAATCAAGAGCCTCCTCCACAAACTGGCATTTTTCAGTCATTTTCTTGCTTTTATTTCTCAACTTAGTCCCATCTTTCACAGCCTCCCTGTTGCTTTTTAAAATAAATCTAACCTTTCTCGCTGTTCTCTTTGCACTCATGCTAACTTAAAGAGCACAGAGAATTGGTGGTAGAAGACCACCTCCTGAAGACAAAATTCTTATCTCTAGCCTCATCAGGGAGACTTTAGGAGCCATCACTCTCCAGGGGGGACAAAAAGGCACCTTTGAGCTGCCTTGTACCTGAGACTGTCTATTTACTGCCAAGTCAAATGATAAAGTGAGACAAGATAGCTGAGAACTATACAAAAAGATCTTATTGACCCAGATAACCACAATGGTGTGATCACTCATCTAGAGCCAGACATCTTGGAGGAAGTGTGAAGTCAAGTGGGCCTTAAGAAGCATCACTATGAACAAAGCTAGTGGAGGTGATGGAATTCCAGTTGAGCTATTTCAAATCCTAAAAGATGATGCTGTGAAAGTGCTGCACTCTTTATGCCAGCAAATTTGGAAAACTCAGCAGTGGCCACAGGACTGGAAAAGGTCAGTTTTCATTCCAATCCCAAAGAAAGG